GAAGAATGGTTTTAATACTTATATCTGAAACATACATTACGTACACTATGAGAGGAAGACTGGCGGTATAAAGGTAATTGTTAACATTTGGTATTTGCTTTTGCAGCCAATGTACATCTTATATATATAACCGAGGTGTCTGTCCGAGTGTTCTTCTGTCTCCCTTTACGGCGGCCGCTTCCCGCGCTGCGTTTGAAAAGCTGCGTACGCAGGAAAAGCTCAACATTCACTTTTGAAATGACGGGAGAACAGGATATTCTACACTAAGTTGTTAGGAACTAACTACACTATCTTTCACATTTCAAAATGTGGCGTAACTTAAAGAACAAAAATGTAAATTTATGTATGTATGTTATTGTTGAGTGTCTCTTAGCATGACAGAAATGCTCAACAATTACTTTTCACGGTGGGCTGTATAAGTAGATCAGAGCTTTGGTTCTGAGTGAAACCAAGTGTGCAACACAATTAACCTTTTTAAAATCCGTGAAATACTTTAAATTGATAAATTAACTTAAACTTTTCCTGACACTGGGGACGGGTAATTTTGCTTGTATATATATATATATTCATTCGTATCCTTTTATATTAAGCTAAAAAAATAACAATTAAATAACTTACATTATCATACTGACTCATTTTCATAAAATGGATGTCCTTTTCATAAAAATAACTCATTTTCTCGCTCTAGCTTAGACCGATCGCTTCATAAGCGAACTTCAATATTTGACATATGTTGATATACAACTGTGTAGTCCAGCCAGAGCAGGCTTAGATAATGTCCTAACCCTTAATAAAAAATGTAGACGTACCTTGGTACTTTTTGTTATTTCACAAGAATTATTCATTAGATAAAATTAAAATGTCAATTGTTTCAGCTCTACATAAGCGAATGAAATATGAATAGAACACAAAACCTTATCCTCCTATGCTATTTCAGGCACTTAAAAAAAACAAAAACTATCGTTTATAGGGGCGTCCTTTGCAATCTTCTATTACTAAAAATCCTCTAACCCAGGCACTTTTTGTTTAGGACTACCCCGCTGCAAGGGTGTTAATTTTTATGTAGATATTGTACAAACATTTATTAAGCTTATTATTATTACCATAATTTAACACTTTGCTTCTAAATAATATGAGCATGTCTTGTAACAACATATGTGACATTCATTACAATACTTATTCGCCTTACTATAGCATACATTATTTGTCTAAATTAACAACTAATGATTTAATATATAATAGATGTCTGACTAAATTTTGTTAAAGTTAGTGACCAGAAAAAAAAAGTATTTTCACACATTTTGTTTCTCGGACTTACTCATATATTTGTAATTTAGGATATTATAGATATACCAACAAAAAATAAACTTACTTAAAACTCAGTAAAACAAAACAAAAAAAAACGTAAAGACCTTACAAAAATGCTCTCTCGGTTATTGATTTTACATTTCAAAGTTCCCCCCTCGTGAGACAGCAGTAAGTCTTGGGACCTACAACGCTAAAATCCGGGGTTCGATTCCCCTCGATGGACACAGCAGATAGTCCAGTGTGGCTTTGCGATAAAACAAACACATTTCAAAAGCTCTTTTTCGTTTCATTCTTTAATAATTTTTAATATTTTGTTTATTAACTGATAATATTGATATATGATTACCATTTGACTATTCATGATTAGGAGTTCGGATTGCTGTCGTTCTTGTTACAACCCCTCAATCCCTCTTAGTATATCTAACACTAACGCCACGCCCTCTTTTATAAGTTTAGCAATTAAACGTAATTGTTATCACATTTATGGTGTCCAATACGGAAAACAAGCAATTCGAGAACAAGTTGATATTACTTACATGATATCAGTTGTACAACCTTGTGAGTTTACTTCCTGATTTTATCAGACAACAAGGTATATTTGTATGGTTTTGTTTGTTGTCAGTGGTTGTCAGTCTAGCTTGCGCGATAACTGAGGTATATTTTTATTTTTAGATAAACCCTTACCTAATGCTCGAATAAGTTTAAAATATGCATTCATGATGAGTAAAATTGTTTAATGTTTAGTAAGCAAAATTCTAAGCAGACCTAACCAGTACAAGAAAAGAGTTAATATTGTTGTTGTAAAACTAAAAACAAGGTATCAACAGTTCTAAAGTTAAGAAATGAAGTAGTAATATCAATATTTTCCCTTAGAAAACATTCAAAAATATAAACGGATGTAATTACCTCGCTTTTTGTGTATGTGTGTTGTTATTATTTGCAACCTTTTCACAACAGCTTTGTGCTGTGTACACGACAGCTATATGATTGAATCTGGTGGGTGTGCGATCTTATCTAATGATTTATTAACGGTCATGTAACAATGTTTGTCAGAATGATAGTGTCAGATTGGGGTTAACGTTTTACTTTAATTTAGTATGATGTGTTTATGATGCGCCATAACATTTAAACAATTAAGAGAGCGAATTATTTTTACAGACAATGAATAAAAAATCAATATATTTTTCGTTGTTTATTATTAAGCACAAAGTTACACAATGTTATTTGTGCTGTACTTACCACGAGCATTGAAACTCGATTTTATGACCGGGGGGGGGGGCTTTATCGTTGTCATGGTTAATAGCCTATACAATTGCCTAAGTGGAATTATTAACTAGTTGTTTTTTAATTACTATTTAATAACTAGTTTTTATCCTACGTTACGGTTACTGATCTGGTGCAATGAAGTCCTAAGAAGGACAATTGTTTGTGGCAGTAACAGCCGGGATTTGAAATTAGATCTTGTTGATCAAAGTCTGATGTATTATCTAATCAATCTCCCAAATTTAGCACTTCAAGCAAGTAACTATTTGCATGTTTTGAAGAGGAGTATACAGATTTTGATTACTTCTATGCCTGGTGTTTTAATCGTGTTATAAGTTAGGTGGATGTAGAAAGATTATTTTATCTTTATTTTGTTCATGTATAGTTTATTATTTTAGTATTATTCCAATTTATTATATTGGCAGCCAGAACGTGGGATAAAACTAGTGTCTATCATAAAGATAGTAACTAATTAACTATTAGACTTTGGTGATCGTATAGACTACACTAATCATAACAACGGTTCATATGCAACCGTCACAACCTAACCATAAGCACTTACTACGTTAACAGAGTTATCATAACACTAACTTTACTGATGTTTTGTAATGCAAGATAGAGGAAAATATATTACTGTTTAAAAAAAAGATGAAAGTTAGTCATTTCAAGCTTTCTTCTACCAAAATAGACTGAACAAATCTGTTCTCATTAATATGATGGTTACAATTTCATTACTCAACAATAAAAAAATGTACGGCTTAAACGCTGAAAGTTATCGAAGCATAAAAAAAACAATAGGCCTAGAATTTCTAATAAAAATCACATTATTACAGATTTTTTTTTCCATTTTCCAAAATCAGAAGCGTGCCAAAATCGCATTTCAGACATGTTCTGGTATTGAACGAAAGGCCTCTTAGACAGTGACTTTTAAGAAACAAAATATTAATATATGCAGTGTGACCAATTAGCTAATCTGTTTGCTTTACATGATATATATTTCAGCAAACATATTATAAATATGCACATTTTAACACCATCGTCACCAGTGTTAAACGAACCTTAGGCTGACTCAAAAGTACAACGAGTGTTATTTCGGGAAACCATTTAACTCCGAATAAATAAACAAAATAGACATTAGAAAGAACTATATAGAGATTATTTTATATTTTCTCCTCAAAAATGGAGAAAAAATTATTTGCTACCATTTTGATCTTTATTGATTTGGTGTAACAAAATACACCGTTTTAGAAACGTTCATCGCGTTTGAATCCAGGCGTTAATCATAAACAATCACAAAGGCTTTCAGTACTGCTGCCTCCATGATATTAAGTAATAGATGAACGTGAAAAAAATTGATAAAAAATAAATATTCAAGACTTTTGTTTTTACAGTGAAGGTAAAAAACAAAACTACTGAGGAGTATGTGCGCAACTTTTCTTTAGACCACCGCCCTGTTCCATGGTAGTCGTTATTCAAAGAATGTTTGGGTGTAACTCTTAAAATTTTGAAATTTGTTTCGTCCAAAACATAACTTTTGTGGGTTTTTTTTTTTCTGTCGTTAAAAATCACATAAGAGAAATAATACGTAGGCTCATGTTAAATATACACCAAATATAATATAATTAAAGTTTGTTCTGGGCTAGGCATGATATATTGAATTTCAGAATTCATGGTTCGCGTCCGAGTGACGATGAAATCTCAGTATTCACTCAGATAGTAGGAGCCCAAGAGTTGGCGGTGGGTGCCTCCTCTCTAGTCTATCAGATCCAAATTCGGAAAGGCTATGTGCAAAACTCTAAAACAATCAGAACCTTTTCATTTCAAAAAACAATTGGTGCTCGTAAAATTTATCTTCATTGATAGACATACATATCTACACACAGATCATGCATGTGTGTGTGTGTGTGTGTACATAATTTGCTCTTGGTAACATATAGATTTTATGTTAGCAGACAGCCATATGTCGTTATTGCTTAGACAACATTGTATAAAATCACAGCACGTTTTAACTATCAAACATATCAGTTTATTATTTTCTATGGTTAAAATTTATATAGAAAGGGCTCATTCTGTAAGTTATCAACTTGTTTTGAATTTCGAATAAAGTATCCCCTAACAACTGAAAACTTTTTCTAATATCGAAGTTAAAAGTTAATCGACTATATCTATTTTTATTTAGTGCTCAATGATATAGGTTTACTTCTTCACTTAGCTGCACTGGAACCAGCTTTCCGACATGCGATTTTCGCAAAATGCAGTAAACTATATATATATATATGCACATATACAGCATGTATTGAGTTCTAATTAACTCTACATTACGTAATTATGAACCATGCGAATGGACTCATTGTCTCAACGTGTATTCATCAAATCTAAATTTTAAGCTACCGAAAAACAACTACCAACAAAATATTAGATTGCTATACCTACTGTGCGTGGAATTTAAGCTTTAACCAAGCTTGAAAGATCAGAATGGTTAGGGCTTTGCAACTGTCGAATCGATTTCATTCTCGCGGCAGACTTCTTAAGTTAGGCAACCGCGTCCAGACATCGAGGTCAACCAGTCAACTATCGCTTTCATTTCTCGATTTACCGAATATTGGGAAAATAGTGAATCATTAAGGCATTAGAGTCTTTCATAAAACAAAACACTAGTACTGTACAAAGTAAGAAACACATCAGCGTTTCATATATACTCACCTATCAACGTCCCGCTTGTTTCTTCGTTGAGATGTAACCAAGAGTTTCCTTTGGCGCTTTTTCCCATAATGCACAGCAGCATGAACAGACGATTGATCGAACTGGTGGTACGTGAACTCAGAGGTACAAGTCACGCACTCATGTAATCATGAAAGTACAGTATAGACTTCGATAACTTTACTTCATACTTTTTCTATGCGTGTATTTTACATAGTTTTCATTAGAATATACTAATATGCTTCAAAAAACTTGGCAGAAGTAGGGATTTCTAGATCAAACATAATTTCAAAAAGAGAGCTTACTTGTACCGCCATCTATTACTTTTCAACGCAAAGATACCTCAGAGAAAATTAGCTACTGAGATAGGAGTAAGCCATGTTATTGAAATGATTACATTGCATAGTAAAAAATACGAGTAAATAACGCAGAATTTAACTTATATTTCAATACTTTATTGACAAACTATATGCACTAATTTCAGTTTAACTTACTCAAGCAGGCACATTTTATTTGCTTTTCTTTCTGTGCAATACGTACAAGAATATAAACATATATTTTTGTATACCTGATATGTTTTTTTCTCCGAAGCAGTTTTTATACGTTGACCACTGTGCCCCTCCCCCTCCCCAGTGGCACAGTGATATTTGTGCGAACTCATATCGCTAGAAACAGAGTATGATACCCGTAGTGGGCAGAGCACAGATGGCCCTTTGTGTAGCTTTGTGCTTAATAACAAACAAAAATGATATTTTATTTTCTTCTACTTCAAGGCCCGGCATAGCCAGGTGGTTAGGGCGCTCGACTGAGGTTGCGGGTTCGAATCCCCGTCCTACCAAACATGCTCGCCCTTTCAACCGTGCGGG